ATTAAGACAAGGAACTATACAAGTGACGCAGTTCAGCCACAATATTCACGGCAAGGCGGTCAGCTAAGCTGACAGGTACAAATGCACTACGGTGAAGCCAAAGCTAATCAAAGTAATTAATAGCGCACCTTCTGCATCAGCAAATTTTCATTCTCCTTCTTTTCTGCAAGTTTTTGCTTCAGGTCGTCTTCCGTTTTGGAAGCCGTCGACAAAGTCGTCTCCAACTCCACAATTCGTTTATTCAAATGGTCAATTTTTCCTCTATAATCAGCTATAATATTTTCTCTCTGGCTCAATACCGTTTCCTAAAAATAACAGAAATACAACGTAAGCCCGAGCAAAAAAAAAGACAGATACATTAGGGCAGAAAAATGAGAGTAGCCTACCAATCAAAAAAAGAAAAGAAAAAAAAAACTGTTGCATGCCTTTTCCACACAATTCTGCTTCTGTTCGTCAAGTGAAGTTACCAGCAAACCGATCCTGTCCTCCAGTTTTCTGCATTCTTTTTCTTTCTGAAAGCATCTGAATAGTGAGACGAATTCAAGCACCATGAGAAGCCAGAACAAATTTAACATTACGCCGATCTTTGGTCACCAGCTAGTTTAGCGCAGCGCAGCTCAGCGCCACGGTGAAGCTGATAACACTCACTATTATTATTGGCGGTGAAGCCGCATTACGGTCAGATGATTATCCAGGCATTCTTCTACCTGCTTCCTCCGTTCTTTCGCAAAGACAGGTTGGATCTGTCACACTTCTGCGTTTCTTGTCTGCTCCTTTGCCTCATCTTCTTAACAGTCCCTTTACCGGCCATCAGGACGTACCAGAAGTAAATCGTATGGGCATTTCAACACTCCGACAGCTAAAAAAGCTGACCGCATTGGCAGGGAATGCATAACATTTACGTTCACCTCAAATGATTAAAAATAGCTGCTAACTTCCTCTGTTTTCATAACAGCTTCTTTCAGGGCAGCTTCCTTCTGTTTCAAAGCTTCCTTGGAACGCTCACATTCTTCTGAAGCCTGGAACCCTCAAAAAGTAGTCTACAAATAACATAAAACAGTCAGAAACTGTAAATGTTCAATACGAATTTTAGAAACTGTAATACTATGATCAACTGCTACAGGATTACACCCTCCAGCTCACCCTAAAAGTTTCATTATCATTTTCAGTGATGTCAGCGGACCAGATGGGATGGTAATTGGCAACTACTTTAACAAACAAGTCACTGCTTCACAGCAGTCAGCTTTTCTACAATTTGTCGATTCTTTCTGATGATGAACTGGTTCTGCAGTGCTCA